ATGAGCAATCAGGGTTGATTTCCTTTAAGATTGACTGGTTTGATCTCCTAGCAGTTATCCAACAGATGCCTAGAATAGTCTTCACAATGGCCCTGTAGATGTTTTGCAGGTTCCTCCTTCCCCAGGGGAGATTGGATTATTCTGATCAAGGTGGCTGGACAACTCTTTGCAGATGCAATAACAGTGGGAAAATAGTTATGTTTTGCTGCTCTTATCACTACAAGGTAATTCTTTAAAACATTCCTATCTGTGCTCAGCCACACAGCGGAGATCTGAGGCCTCTGAAAGCTATTAGGGTCTCTCCAGAAACTATAGCCACTCCACTGCCTCTGATCTGGGGTGACAGCTTTTGCCATACTCAAAATCCAGATGGCACCTTTCCAAAAGAAGAGTTCTGTGCCTCACCAGGTCTTAATTATACATGCCATGTCAGCCCTCTCATCCACTATTAAATCATGGATAAGGAAGGGTTTAATACAGGTGCACTTGGCAAAATGAATAATAGATTACTGTAGTTCAGCATAGTTCCTTCTATCACCTTCATCCCTGACAGTGATAACTGAATCAGGTCTCCATGCATCAGTCTGCTAGGAAAGCTGTACTTGATTCACAGCAAGCAGATTCCCTCTCCCACATACTTTCCTGTTCTGCCTACACAGACTGTCTTCCCCTTCCCTCCTTCTTTCTAGATCATAATTTTTTGGCTACTGTCAACCATAAATCTAAGTATGAAACTCAAATTGACACAGATGATCACCAATGTGATAATCTATGTGCATATCTGATTTTACTTACATTCAGAGTTTAATACTCACTTTGTAGGAGTTCGAAGTGGTTATGACTCATAGATGATGTTGGGTTTCCTCAAGAAATCCAGAGAAATCTTGGAATTAGAACAATAAGTTAACTCTTTTAAGCTTTGGAACGCACTTCAAGACATATCACAATAATCTGTCTAATGAGTATTTGTCATAGTTCAGAGCCAGTATTAATATTTTATTTTATTTTATTTTATTTCATTTTATTTTATGTATGTATGTATATTTTAAATTTGTCAGCACCCATCATACTGCGGAGTGACTCTGGACAGTTTACAGTAAAAACAATATGCTTTCAAGTCAGTCAATCACTCCCAATTACCTTTCAGGAAGAGCATTTCATGTTGTTGTAGGGCCAAGAACCATTCAAGTAATATTTATACAAAAAAATCAGTCTAGCTCTTGGATACATTCAACATTAAACCGCAAAAGAAAAAAAATGATATACTTAAGCTCCTTACTAGGATTTTTATACTTCTTAATAACCGAAAGTTATGGGTGATAATAAAACATGGTGACTGCTTTTGTTAAATTGATAATAGCAATATTGTGCCACAAACTCTCCTCCTTTTCGACATGCGTGTAATGTCATAATGCACATATAAAAGGGGCAGGGCTCATATGGTGTCAACGTGATGCTGCTTTCATCAGCTGGATCAGCTTGGACATCACTGTGGACACCGCTGCTTCTGAATAGAATCCACTCTAACCAGATAAAAAGTCTTCTGAAACTTAAAAAACTGACTGTGGGACAAATGTTTGTGGAATAGAGTCCGCTTCACCAGAACAGCTCATCAAACAATTTTTCATCATCATCATCAGTCTATTTGCTTTAAAGTGGTACCAGATACATTAGTATTTCTCATGCAAATAGAACTACATGGCCATCACTCAGAAATTTGAAAAAAAAAATAGTTTTCTATACTTGTTGAAATAAGTCAGTTCTATTTGTGGCTTGCCTTTCACTTTTTAATATACTGTTTAAGAGCTTCTGTCTTCTATTATAGATCTCATCCACCACACCAGCAAAATGGGAATCAAACTGACATAGTTTGGGAAACTTTTATAAGCCAAAAAGATAACATGCTGCAATCCTGTGCCCTATGTAGTATTTAACCCACTGTAGTTATGTACTTCCCTCATCTCTCCTATGCAGACAGATATGGATAGTCAAGTTATAAACCTAGAAGAATGTGGGAGCAGGCTGGATGCCACCCAAGAGGTGATCTGAACAGTCACAGAACCTCCTGGCCTGGAATAAAGGACCATCACTAGTAGTTACAGACTGATCGTGGGCTGCTTAGCATCTAGGTCAGTGCTCCTCAAAGTGTGGTCTGAGGGCCCCAGGGGTCCCCCAAGACCCACTCGGGGGTCCCCACATTCAAAATTATTTGCCAGCCAATATTGAAAAATAATACATTATTAAAATCCCATCAAACAATTGTAAGAAGTGGTAGTGGCAGCGAATGCATCAATTTTAATTTTCAATAGGGTAAATATCGATAAATATAACCCATACAAGCAGAAGCTCTTTTGGGGTCCTCCATAATTTTTAAAAGTGTGAAGGAGTCTCAAGGGCAAAAAGTTTAAGAAACACTGATCTGGGCCACGGATATCAACAGCCTGCATTAGCAGGTACAGCAAAAGGAGAGTTGCATTCGCTCAGTAATGTGTTATGGTGGAGTGACTAATAGGCTAATACATAGCACTTTTCTTTATGTAGCTAACACTGCTTATACTACAGTTTTTCTGTCTCTATTGTTATTATTTGACAAGGGAGAACTTTGGATCCGTTATAATAATTGGGAAACAATTGCACATTCAATTATTGGAAAACAATCACTAGTCTGGATATTCCTTCAATATATACAGTATATATGTACATATCCGCACTTACCTCTGCTATTCAGTATTAAGCTTTTTTCCTCAGTAGATGTTGGATGTTTAACTTCGCATCGTATTGTCTTCCCAAAGTCTATTGCTTTTGGCTCTAAGTGTATTTTACTTACAAAATAACATAAGTGATCTTCTCCAATGTCTATGTTACTGGGATTGATATTTTCAGATATTTGTTTCCAGCCTTGGTACCATCTTACTTGTATATCATGAGGTGCAAATTGTGATATAGAAATTTCAAGAAGGATGCTCTTGTGAGCTAGGGTTGCCTTTATTTCAGACACAACAGGGCGTTTGGCTAAATGAAAAGGAAAAAAATTGAGCTGAAATGACAATGTAGTAAGCTTCCAAACCTTGGATTAATATGATTAATAAAGGAAGGATTAGAACATCATTTAAGGGCGGATCCTCTATAGTCTTGCATAAAGGAACTATTGTATGAGACCACTCCATAAGATCAACTGCACAGTTTTCACCAAGCACAAGCTGAAGACACTTTCTGCACCGTTTGTAACAAACCCCAATGGGCGGAATTCATTTCTGCAACCTTCTCTATGGCCGACCGTTTAAGCTGGACATAACAACACTTTTTTGTTGTGGCTTATTCTACAGTTTACACCTCTTTTTCTTTGTTTCCATCACAGGCTTGAAATTCAATAATGGCGTTACATATGTTACTACAGGCATCTGTGGTGGGAGGAGGACAAGTGTGTGTCTTGATGTGCAATTCAAGTATGAAAGGGCAGGAGTTATGTTGTGACATCATGCTTCATCATTTGCGTGTCACTGAGGTTGGAGATGGAGGCCTATGCATCTTACTGGTAGGTGAGATAATCTGATCCCACAAACATTCTCCCACATTTGATAAAAAGACAGGGGTGTCTGCAGGGTGTGGTCAAAAAAGTTAAAATGGCAGCCACGACAGTGCAATCAAAGCTCTGCCTGTTTGTTATGTGTATTGGTTACATGACACGCATAAAAAATGGGTGGAGTTTTGATTGTAGCGTCGTGGCTCCCATCTTGATGCTTTTAACATACTCTGCAGTCATCCCTGAAGGAAGATTGAAACAGGATTTAAGCCACATCCCAGTGTGACATCCCTAGGAGCAGACCTGCTCACTACCACTCTGTGAGTTTTACTACTTTTAATCATACTTGAGTTGGGCTTAGGTTCCTTTTCCAACATAGGCATTCATTTATTTAAGTATTTCTGTACTAATCTAACTAAGGCATGGTTACATTACTATATGAGATATACAGCTATGTTACTGTTTTATTATGATGTTTTTACATTGTTTTTCCTCTCACAATCACCAAGTGGTTTCCAATAATAAAACATAAAACATAAATAACTGCAAAATAGAGCAGTAGAATAAAATAATCAACCCCAACATCAATAACCTGCACTATGCTGATGACCCTACTCTGATAGCTGAAAATGCAAAGGATCTGCAAGCTTTAGTCATAAAAGTTAAAGAGCAAAGTAAAAAAAAAAAGGGGGGGAGGACTAAAATTAAATATAAAGAAAACCAGACTAATGATAAGAGGTAGAACAACCAGCCTTGGAACTGGCAATGAAGATATCCAAGTGGTGGATACTTCTACCTTTTAGGATCAACCATCAACAGTAAAGGAACAAGCTGTGAAGAAACATATCATAGACTAGCACTTGGTAGAGCAGCTATGGAGGCCTTGGAAAAGATATTCAGATGTTGGGATGTATCTATGCCTACAAAGATCAGAATCATGCAAGCCATGGTATTCCCTGTGACACTCTATGGAAGCAAAAGGTGGACTTTGAAGAAGCAGGATAGGGAGAATATTGATTACTTTGAACTTTGGTGTTGGAAAAGACTCCTAAGAATACTGTGGACAGCCAAAAAAACAAACCAATGGATCATCAAACAAATCAACCCAGAGTTGTCATTCAAGGTTTAAATGACCAGGCTCAAATTATCCTACTTTGGACACATTATGTAAAGACCTAGCTCTCTGGAAAAGACTCTAATGCTGGAAAGGGTGGAAGGAAAGAGAAGAAGAGGATGACCAACTGCAAAGTGCATGAACTCAGTTACGGTGGTGATGGGTACACCTTTGGAAGACGTGAAAGACCAGGCTAGGGATAGATCATAATGGAGAAAATCTATCTATGTAGTCACTAGGAGTAGAACATGACTTGATGGCACATAATCAGTCAATCAAATCTACAGCTGATGTGTGCAACCTGTGACAACCCCCCAAGGTATTTGTGGCCTTGCATCTCCCAGAAATCTCCAACTTATAATTTTTGATCTGTGTGATAAAATTACTATTTTTAAATTAATTACCAAATTAATAATTACTCAGTTACTATATGCTTGGAGAGTTTTCATATTAACTATATTTAATTTTAATTAAGAGTAAGGGAAATGAGATCAAATTCAGTTTTTGTCTTGGTCCCATCCACTAAATCTTAGAGTATACCTCTGGCATTTACTTAGTGACCAAGTATGCCTACAACCTGGAAAAAATTCCACTGCTCTATAGCCACCAGGAGCAACATATCAAGGGGACCAACAGCTTTCGATCATCTTAAGCAATTTGCAGAAAAAAGTCATGTTTCTGCCCTTTGGATGCCCATTTATTGTTATTATTAATAACAACAACAACAAGAGACAGACACCTGTGCTACAGATATGGAGATTTGCTTTTAAGTAACATTGCAGGTATAACTTGCAGGAAGTGAGGCTGTGCCACACTCCTCACTTGTTGAATTTCATTATTGATGAAGTTGGGTAAACTCACCCCAACTTCATCAATTACCATCAGAAGATGAATAAATCCAAAAGATTCTTGGTACCCACCTGGAAGCTTTAGGTACACTTCTCTCGTAATGGCTTTTTTCAGTTTCGTATGAGTCACCCTGAAACAAATGGCCTTATCACAAACTGAAGCAGTAGCTCTTAGTTGCAACACAGAAGTTAACTTGAAACAATCATTAGAAGCCATCTCTGGTCCCTTTGTGATTGCACCATTCCGTATTGAATTATCTCCGAGGAACCATTGAGTACAAATGTTTTTAGGATGGAAATCTGTGATGTCACAGGTTAAAGTTATAGTTTCTCCATAATCAACATCACTTGGTTCAATAACAATATTTGAAACTTTGGGAAAACCTGTACGTGCGACAAAACAGAGAAATCAACATTAGACAAGGAATCACTGTTAAATGCAAAGAATAGCAGTGTATCTAATATATAGAGCATCAAACTAGATAAGAATAATTTCCAATGATATGTTGTTACCATGACAAAGAAGTCGTCTTTGGTCCCCTAAAAATAGATCTATTGTAACAGTGCAATTTTTCATAGAACAATGCTTATACATTAAATCAATTCTCAGTTGATTTATGCAGATATCAATCATTTCTGTTCCGTTTCTTATGTAAATATGATGGCCATGCAGTGAGATATCAGTGCCCACACTTCTCACTACAGTGGTACCTCTACTTACGAACGCCCCTACTTATGAAATTTTCGAGATACGACCAGCTCCGCCCCCAAAAATTTACCTCTACTTACGAACGCCCCTACTTATGAAATTTTCGAGATACGACCAGCTCCGCCCCCAAAAATTTACCT